TGACCTGCAGACCAGGCTGTGGAAATGCCCCATGCAAAAAGCTGAGCGTGCGTGCGCGTGCACACGCAAACCGGCAACCCTCGGGTCGATGTTGGGCGCTTCCCGGCACGCTTTGCTTTCTGAACAGTTGGTAACACGGTGCTAGTAACAGTCACGGGAGCATTTGTTTCACTAAAAAGTTCCAATGACTTCAATAAACTTGGTCCTGTTACTAATTCGGTTATCTTCCAAACCAAGCGTTCTGATCGAAGTTATATCAAAGTGCAGTTACAGGACTGTTTATGCCTGCTCAGCCAAAGAATTGCACGGTGGTCTGAAATTTAGAAAAGTGCTTTTATTATCACAGAGTGTCAGCTCTTAATTTTTTGGGTGTTTAACCAGGCTACGCACAAGAGCGGTGCACATTAAACTGAAAATAATATGCAAATTAGTTTGAAATTTCTTCCAATTTTGCTTGAAATGAACTAGAAATCTAAGCTCTTAGTTCACTTGCAGCAAGTCGGATAGCAAATGGCTTTCAAGCAAATTTGGGATCACACTCTACCCACAATCAATCTCTAGTGTGGCTAAATTTTTGTTTAAATAGGTATTTACATTGTCTCTCACAGTATAGAAAATGAAGGCTTTATTTTTCTTCCAGTCATTGTGACATTGTTCTTTTATGTCATTTTGTTGTATATTACAGATTTTTAATGAGTTTTCAGAATACATTTCTAATATCTTAAAGGCAATGTGAGAAGTAAGTTTCTTTAAATACAGTTTAATCCAATGAAGAGGAAAAAAGGGGAAACAAAGCCGGTGAGATTTGCGTATAAGCAAACACTGGGCACACCTTTACTAGTCGCAGTTCCCCTGAGACAGCTGTGAGGAAATGTGATGTCTGCTTTGGGGAGCTGGTGGTTTGGGGAGTAGCTGGGATCTGCATTTCTAGCACAGTCCGTAGCAAATGCCTTAGAAATGTTTTCGCTTGGATGCGCTCTTTTCTACCAAAGACTCAGTATAATGAAAGCTGGCACAATTTTTTAAAAAAGTTTTTTGTTCAAGGTTTAAAATAATCTGCGGGTGAAAGGGATTCTGAAATGCTTTAATCTGCGTAAATTGTCATGATGTCAGAAAGCCAAAGCTGCCAAATATTAATGTTTGGAGCCTGCATTTTGCCTGCAGGTTTACTTGCTAGGGTTTGGGGTTTTTGTTTTCATTTTAATTAGCATCTTAGAATAACTGTAATCTAATTTAGAACCCTAGAACTTCATAATCAATGTTTTAAAATATGAATTTCAAAGGAAACTGCTTTAACAGTATTAAAAGTTGGCAATTCCTTGGTTCTGAACTCCCTGAACCACATCACTTCTCTTCTGTCGGGGAATTTCTGTGGAGCCCGTTGGGAAAGCTTGCCCTGCCCTTTGCGTAGCTCTGCCGGGGGCACCGGCGATGCCCGGGAGCATCGGTGGCCTCCCCTGCCCTCTCCACATGGCAGGGCTGCAGAGGGGCTGGGGTTCCAGCGCCGCGGTACAGCTGGGTAGATTCAGGATCTCTGGGAAAAAGAACCTTTTCTAAAAGTTAACCCTATGGGTGTTTTCTGAGACTCCCCCAGACTAACACAGTTATCAGGCAGACGGAGATCCCGGTTGGTGTCATCCTTATTCCCCCTCCCCGAGGATGCTCCTGCCAGCCCCGAGGAGTCTCCGGGACAGGGAGTCGCTGGGATCGTCCTCGGTCGGAGTCGGGCTGGAGCCGGCGCTGGGTGACCGCGGTGATGCCACGCCGGAGCTGTACTTTGGTCGGTTCGTTCCACAGGGAACCGCCTCACGGTCAGAGGGCTGGTGGAACTCAGAATGTTGGCGGCAGGGTTGTTTTTAGCTTTTCATTGTAAAATATCCAACCGATGTAAGGAAAGGATTTGCGTGGCTCAGGCAAAGCAAGCTGGATGCTCCTCAAGGATGACGGTGCAGGACATAGCTTCAGAACGCACAGTGGCACGGGTAGCATGATGAAATTTTGTCTTGTCTGCTGACCATGTGGAATGGACAACAGGCGACTCAATATTTGTTCTGCTATGCAGTAGGAGCACTCCTTCATTATATAGGAAAACATAGAGGTATGGAACCGATAGAATTGTTTGATATAAATTGAAGAAATTAAACAGAGCTGGACTGTGGTAAAGTGGCAAAGATATACTTCTGCCTTTTTAATATTTCAAAGTAGAGAAAATATTTCCTTTTAATAATGTGGGGGTACTCATCTCTAAATGATGCTCCTTGGCTACTGGGATGGAACTAATCATTAAAAATGGTTAAGCAGTCTGAAGTCAAATTGTTGTATCCTTGTATTTGTGCCACCAGTGTCCTCAGCATCCTGAAAGTACTGGCTGCTTTTGCTTCTGCAGTTCATCACAGGAGCAGGTATTCCTTCGTTTCGCGGTACCCATCTGGCAAAATGAGGAGGTCTGGCTCATTGAGCAGACCCTCATGTTGGGTCTCAGGAGGTTTCAGCTGATTCTGCTTTCTTCCACATCTGCCGTTGTGTCCCAGTTATCCTCCGCCTGTGCTTCCAGCCGTTGTCTTAGCACGGACAAGCAGCGGTGTCCCCTGGGCTGCCTTCAGCCACTGCCTCTGAGCTTCACTGGGAAGGAATAAGACAAGGGAGCATTTGGTTTACTGACTTCTATAGCAACTTTACAGACTTGCACAGAGTATCAAATGGCTTTATGGAAATTTAATCTCTGAGAGTATCTAAGGCTGTTGTTAAAATACTGTTTTTCCCTTGTCTTGGGCTTTAGTCTGCGGTTGTTGACCAGCTGGGTCTGCTGCACCATATGGAAGTTCTGAAGCTGATCTCAGCTGTCGAATACATTGCACCCACGTCCAATGAAAACGTCGCTGCGATGGACGCAGAGTTCAGCAACGTTGCCATCCGTCTGTACCTGCCCAGAAAACCATCTGACAGGCTGAGAAGGGCGGTGGTCTACTCCATGGTGGAGGATGGGGCTGAGGACAGGCGGGTGAGCTCTTCTCTGTCAGTGCCAGGGGTCTGTATGGGAGATCTCAGCGGCCCGTGTTAAGTGCTGCCTCTTCTTTTATGGGAGAGGGCCAGGGAGCTGGTATTTCACCAGCTAAAATGCAGCTCAGGAGAGGGTGGTCAGTGTATCTTGAGGTGGAGGGCAAAGGGTCTGGTTCAGGCGCTCTGCTTCTGTCGTGGTGTTTTACCTGTGGCCCCTGGCTTGGTTACATGGTATTAGGGGGAGAGAGGGGCAAAACTGAGTATCTTAATACGGAAAAGAACATCCACGTAGCAGTAAAATTCAAATGGAGAGGCAGAGACCAGGGGTTCCCTTGGTTCCCAAAAGCTCAATTCTCAGACGTTTCCTCATACCTCTTGCTTGGGGAAGATCAGGGGGTATTTATTGTCCCCTGGAATCTATTTTAGGGAGTTTTGTCCTATCAGACGTCATCTATTACTGCATCTTTATTTCTCATGAACGTGCTCCTAGGCAGGCAAGTGTGTTTCTTTGGTTTTGGTTATCATTGCACTGTCAGTGCTCATCTGATGCTTGGTGTTCTTCCACGTTATCCCCAGAGGGGATCTAAAATGTTTTCGTTCAGTGTGCCATGCTTTTGCTATTACTTTTTCATGCAGGTGATTCATCTTCCCTCCCAGTCGCATTCTCCCCTAGAGCACGTTCTCTGCTTCTCTTTGCTGTCGTTCAGTGCTTTACATAAATGGATGTAAGTTATCATCTTGGCCACCACCCAACCTGGCATTGTAAGGATAGTAGATGTGGCCAATATTCCCAACAACAAATCCATAGCTCGCTTTACTTGTTGGGCTGCTTGTTTCAGGGAGAACAAGCCAAAATATCTTTCCCAGGCAAGCTCTTTAATTTCGGTGTGAATGTGTATGTGTAGCTGAGAGCTTAACCTGGCCCCTGGTGTACTTCTTGTTTCCACTTTTCTCTGCCATAAAAGCTGAGCCTCCAGGACCTTGCATCGTGTAGTGCTCAGAAGTGTAAATAATGTATTTTGTTCATCCTTTTGGATAGCATTCAAGCAATAGTTGCATTACTTCTTCCAGTTTGTGCTTCTGGATAAACCCGTGTGTGCTGCTGTTGAGTTGTGCTGCTGCAGAAGCACAGGTGGGTGCACGTTTTGGAAAGTCACCTGAAAGCTTCTGCAAAGAGGAAGATGCTGATGTTTGTATGTTCTTTCTCAAATGTACTGGAATATATTCTAAGTGACTTATTTCATTGCAGGCCGAAAACCCTATGATCATCTGACAAGATGGACTTCAAACAGGTTAAATGCTGTCGTGGTATCAGTCAAGTAAGAGAGATCCTCCTTCTAGATGGGATGAGGGTTTGGTATAAATTAATCTATTTCAACTAATTTAATTTTGCAATATCTTTTTTTGATCATGTGCTTTCCTGCTAGCTTTAAGTATTTGTAAACAAAAGCTGTCAAGGTTGCAGTGGTGAATTGTGGTTGGTGGTTATTTTGGATTTTGCTTTATGAAGTTGGGTGGATAATAAAATATTTGATCCTCCGGGATAGACAGATAGTTCCCATTTCGCTGGGCACAGAAAGTAATAAACATTCACCAACTAGGGCATATGCTAGCAAGCCTTTCTCTTTATAAATAGCAGGAAGTAACACACTTCTGCTTGCCTCTAACAGTTACAGGTTGGCACCTAAATACCGTTTTCCCATTTGGTTTGAAGATGTGTATTCGGTAACAAAATTCTTCCTCCAGAGAAGCATCCTCTCCCAGTATGGGGTGGACCCAGTTTGGGTCTGCGTTGCAGGAGACAGTGCAGGTGGCAACTTAGCCACAGCTGTGGTACAACAGGTAAAAAAAAGCTGGTTTGCCAGCTCGATTTTTTTTTTTTTTTTTTTTTGGTAATTTCATGAATTACTAAAGACTAGCAAAAATCTCTGCTCAAAGCAGTGCACCACCCAAATGTCTCTCATGGTCCATGTACATAGGACATCACCTTTACACCCTAAAAAAAGGCACTCTGCCCTATAATTAGGGCATATATCACTCTATCCTTAAGCACATTTTGACTGGTTTAGGCATGTTGTTTGGAAAGGGAATTTTAGCAATTTGTCTCATACAGATGTAAATAGCAGCAAAAAAAATAAGAGGACTCAATATCCCAGGGTCATTTGATCACACACAGTTTCAGTGCCTTTGGTACTTCTCAGGTTTATTTAATAAAGTCAGTGTGATGTTGTTGCTCTCTTGAGAAGTTATTTGGATTGTAATGAATCTCACTTGGAAAGGCTGTGAATTTGCTGTGGACACTGATGGCAGAAGATGAGGGAGAAGGTGGAAATTTGCTAGTGAAGAGGGGAAAAGGATGACCTGTAAGAAATGTCAGTGTTCAATTCATCACATTTTTTTTTTCACGTGTCTAAAATGCACAGAATCGTAGTTGTTTGAGTTCTAACACCTTGGGGTTAAAAACCCAGACAGATGGATAAGCTCTAAATTGCATGAAATAATTAAAGGAGTCTCAGAAACCTGCAATTTTTAAAAATCTGTGCTCTAAGCAAAAATGCTAACAGTATTACCAACCCCCTCCGCATGTTTTTATAGGACTCTGCTTGGAACAAGAAGTAAATGTCTTTTAACCACCAGCACCTAAATATGGATTAATGATTGATTGGACTGTATATGCTTTTGATGACATTCTAAAATAGACTTTTTGAGTTGGAAACTGTCAATGTCAGCGTCTCTGGCAGGAGAGGCTGAACCCACAGCGTGCATTTATCCAGAGCCGAAAACAGTAAAAACCGCCCCAAGGGAAGGCTTTGTTCCATCTCCCAACGGACTGAAATGAAATTTGGTGTTTGACAGCAAAAGACAAAGCTCAGCCTTGCCATCGTCACGGCGTGGTGGGCGTCCCCATTGGGGCAGGCT